TTTTATTCTTTAAAATAAAAATAAATAAATAAATAAAAAATAAAAATCTGTATGCCTTGTTTTTATGGAGAGAAAGCATATTTAACTTCATAGATTTTCTCCAAGAAATACTGGAATACTAGCCCAGTAGACTCTATTAGAACTAAGTACAAAGAACCACAAAGTCCTGATTCCTTTAATGCATTAAAAATGATGTAAGTGATACTAAGAACAGTCTTATAAAGTTACGGTGAACTCCTGGAATTGAAACAATTACAGAAACTAGGAAGAATATTTCAGCACAGAATTAGACAATAGATGGAAGATGCGCCATGCGTTGTAAACCTGAGGTCTGCAGTTCACGCTGGCAAAGCCTTACCCTCTCCATCCCAGTTTACCTGCACGACCCTCTGCCCTGGCACCTGTTTGCCCTAGTCAGCCACTCCCTTTGCTTCAGGCTGTACCTAGTGAGACAGTATATACATCGCCTGGTAAAACATCTTTTTAAAATGCCTTTTCACACTTTAAAGATCTGATGATGACACAAAGTCCTAGAAATCTGACTAAGCATGAGGCAGTTCAGTGCATCTTTGAAATTTCATTCAATAGGGATTAATTCATCTTGAAGTCGTGAGTCACAGACAACTAGATACAGTGCATAAAGAAAAAAACCGAGGAAGAGAAATCAATTGTTCTCCTATTTGAAATACAAGAGAGTACCTGTTATTTATATGACTGAAAAGGTGCTTTATAACCAATTTGTACTTCTAAGTACTAATTAAAATGTATGACAGATTATAAGCAGTTAAGAAGAGAAAAACAAAAACAGGCAACAATGAAGAATAATTATATTTCGTAAACCTACCGAAAATCGATATCCAGTAAAAGGCTTTTAAGGGTAGACTTCTTGTCACCAGATGCCGTCAACCCAATCAGCTCATGCAACCTGAAGCAATTAGTAAAGGCAAATTTAATGAGAAATTACAACTGCCATAGACAATAAGCAAACAAACAACAAAACCCACCAATGTTCTTCTGTGACCTCTGATATTTCAATGAAACCCTGAAGAGAATTCAGCAGGTGTAAGCAAGATTTCACTTTTGCAAATATTTTTAAAAGGACCAAACTTATCTGAAATGGAGAGGTCTAATATCATAGACAATTTATGTCTCAAATCAGAAAGCATCTCCTTTCGTACACCAGAAAGAAATCTCTTTAATGGGATACAGGCTGCAAATCTCACAAGAAAAGGAGCAGCCTTCCCACTTCCGGTGAATTCTCGGTGCTTCACACTGTACACCACACACAGTAAAAAAATACTCGACAAAGTTTTCCCACAGTTTAAACTGCACTAAAAGGAAATTTTTTTTAAACCTCAGAATATACCTTGGTGTTCCAACACAGAGTACCCTTCTGAAGCCCAGGGTAGAGACGAGGCCAACCAAGAACTGACAGGTCCTATCCGCAAACAAGTACTGGGCATTTGTCTTCTTGTTTTCCAGGGGGTAAAGCAGCTGGCTGGGCCTTCTTAGCTGGGAGACAGAAACGTCACCCACTAGCTGATGCTCTCGGTGCTCCCCCCAGTCGTCTGGAAGCAGCAGCCGCTGACAGCTTTGACAGAACTTTCTCTGAGTCAAGGGCAACTGGATGAACCTCAAGTACCTTCAAGACACAATGAAACACAGAGTCGGATATTTTAACTTTGTTGTTCTAAAAATAGTATATCTTTGCTATTTTTAGTATCCAAAAGAGTACTCATACTTCCTAAAGGGTACTGCACAAAAAAGCAAAGGTAAGAAAAATGTGTAGAATGTTGGCTAGAATTTATGTCCGGCTGTATAACTACAAAGTGGAAAAGAATCAGCAATTTTGTAAGAATTGAGATGCTTCAATTTAGTCACTGAATGAAGATCAATATCCGTTTACAATGTGAATATAATATATTACTCAAACAACTTAGTAGTAATGGCAACTACTATCACATTTAAATTTATTGACAAATCCATGTGTTCTAGTTCTGAAGTGTTAAACAGTCTGGCTCAGTTTTAAAACAGTCATTTTAAAATGAGAAATTAAGATCATTCTTCAAGTTCTTATGGCACACTTAGCAAGAAAAATTACCTACTAAAAGAAAGATGTTTCCACAGAGCTCCTCTGCACCTAGCCAAACTGATGGAGGCTGACGTACGTTCACCACTGAAATCCAGGACAATGTTCACAGCCATGAGACACTACCCAACAACGGCTTGGCTTCTTTAAGTCACCCTGACACCTCATTACAAAGCCACCATTTCTCTTTTCTCTTTTTTTTACTTTATTAGAGTTTTTGCTTTGTCTTATGTTTTGTTTGTTTGACACAAGGTCACGTTATATGCGGATGTAGCTAGTGGGAGGGTCTGGGTTAACTCTAGTGACACAAGCAAACATAAAAACTGTCGATTTTGTATATGTGACACTAGCTATAAAATCAGAGTAAGACCCCCTCCCCCCAAAAAAGAAAGCAGAGTAAGAACAGAAAAGAAAAATAAGCTCATTGAGGATCAAAATGTCTAGTAAATCCCAAACAGCTTCTCTTTTCTTTTTGTTCTGTTTTTATTTGTAGCGCTGGGGATAGAACCGTGAGGCTTTCTACTACTGAGCTATATTCCCACCCACTTTTGAGAAATTATCTCACTAGTTGCCCAGGCTGGCCTTGAATTTGCAATCTTCCCTTATTAGTCTCCTAAGTAACTGAGATTCCAGGTTTGCACCACCATGCCCAGCTTAAATCTAAGTATGCCGAATAGTGTACTACAAAGTCTTATAGTTTGGCAACAGTCCAAAAATTTCAGTGAGAACAAAATTGTGAAATGTAATATAAAAGCTGTAAACTTAACAAGGAATCAGGTTGAGCATTACCACTTTTCCTATCCAAGCACAGTTTTACTTCAAAGCACCCAAGGCCATGAATAAGACATTCCAAGTGGCTATAGCAAAAAATCAGCCACAGGGCCAGAAATTTAAATATTTCTATTTCTATAATGACTGATCTTTTGACAACTTTATCCATAGCTAGAAAGAAAGAGAAGAAGGCTATTAGGAGGAACCTCCTAGGAATTCAAAGTAAGAATATCAGGAGAACAAAGGACCCCTAGGACATGAAATGCAAGTGGGAAGAATCAACAGACACTTCAGCAACTGAAACACTGAATTTACTACTACTCCTGTTATCACTAAATGTTAAGGACTGAAAATGTCCACACCCAGCCTCAACAGAGTAACACAGACCAGATTTACCCTCCTGATCCTGAAAATAATCTTTAAATAGAAAAAATACATGAAACAATACTTTGAAGCTATCAGACAACTGGTTACCCAAAACAGTGGCCCCCGAGGGAAGGGAAGAGAGGAAGCCCTATCTGGCTAGGAAGGAGCACAGCTCAGCAAACTGATGAGATGGAGCAGTGCATGAGGGTCCTCAGCCACAGCTCCCGGACAGAGGCCTAGAGCACACCCAGAGTACACGGAGGGCAGAAACCTGCGCACCAAGAGCAGAGGGATGGGTGGGGAGGGGGCACACCCCAAGATCTGCAATGATTCCCTCACCGAACAAAAGCGGCTCTGTACTGCCTTCAGAATTGCAAGGTAAGCCTTCAGCAGCAGGTCACACACTTCCGCTCGAGGGTCGGCAAGCCTGGTAGACCACACCGGCTCCATCACACGACGCTGTTGTGACAGCCCAAAAGAAAACACAAACAACAGCAAAAGAACAGACAGAGCCAGAGGTGGCCTGTGGGCAGAGGTTTGCTAGAATATGTGCAAGAGCATCAAAACTACAACCAGGTACCTGAACAGGGTCCCAGAACTAAGCAAAGGAACACCACCCAGTATAGAACAAAGTAAAATTCAGACTGCCAGCATCCGATCACATATTTATTAGTAGGTAGGCAAAGAAACAGTAAAATGTGATCACGATGATGACAAAAAAACCCAAACCAACTAGAAATGACAGAAGAAAATGATGTAATTAGTAAAGAGAGACATTAAAGCCACTTAGTATAACTGCAGTCCATCTGCTCACGATAAAGGAACCATGCGTGTAGCACACATTTGTAATCCCAGCCACTCCAGAGGCTGAGGTAGAAGGATCCCAAGTTTGAACCCAGCCTGAATAACTTAAGGACTTGTCTCAGAATAAAAATAACAGCTGTGGATATAGCTCAGTTGGGTTCAATAAGAGAGAGGAGGAAGATGAAGAGGGGGAGGACAGTGAGGAAGATGAGCAGGTCTATGGGGATGAGGACGACAAGAAGGAGAAGCATGAACCTGTGAAGTAAAGACATGGAGGGCTGGGGTGGAGACCACTGACATTCTGTGCTGACTTGAGGCCTTGGCGGAGGGAGGATGGGAAGATGTAGGAGGGGAAATATGCAAGAAAAGGAGGGTCCACATCAAACCTATAAAGATTTTTTTTTTAATTGTCTGAGATGAAAACCACCACAGACAGGACTAAGGGCAGTTTTGAGACCACAGAAGAAAAGACCTATAAACCTGAAGGCATAGAACACCTGAAGCTATGCCAAGTGAAACACCAAGGCCTCGATATGTGTGAATGCAGTACCCCACATGGGGAAGAGGGACAGAAAATCTTCTGACAATATAATGGAGAAATTTTTCAAAATTACATCAAAGATCCAAAAAGCTAAGAACCACAAGCACAAGAAATATGAGGGGAAAGTAGATGCATTATCAAGTTTTCAAAATCAGTAATAAATAGAAAATCTGAGCTGGGCATGGGAGCACAGGCCTGGAATCCCAGCACTTGGGAGGCTGAGGCTGGAGGACTGCCGCAAGTTCGAGGTTAGCCTGAGTTCCACGGAGACTCTGTCTCAAAAAAAAGAAAGTAAGAAAAAAAAACCCAACCTTGTGTACTGAGGAACAAAGGAAAGACCAACATCAGGTTTCCCACTGAAAACAACACAAGAAGGCAGAGCAGAGCACTACCATATCTACACCGTTTCCCCAGTGATCTGAAAAGGGGTGGATGCTTCCACATGCGCTTACCTGCTAACAAAGAACGGGAAAAATAGATTACAAGAAAACTATAGCTCTATACACGTTATAAACACAAACTAAGTAGTAAAACAAAACCAGCAGCACATTAAAAAAAAGCACTGTGCCATGACTAACTACACTATCGTAGGACTGCAGGCTGCTCTGCTGACTCAATTCAACCAATGGTTTCACCATATTAATAGTTTAAAACAATCACCACACCCGATGCAGAAAAAAAGATGATTAAGATTCTTAAAACACAGGACCAGTCTTATAAAAGTCACCAAGCATGGCTAGAAGCATAACGATGAAAGACTGCCGCATAAAATGGGGACAAAGCTACGATGTGTACTTGTACTGTCTCAATACCAACCAGGGCTCCTAGCCAGCTTAGTAAGATGAGATAAAGAAATAAAAGGCATACATTAGAAAGGAAACCTTAAAACTTTTCTATTCACAGACAACATGATCATGCACAGATAAAGTCCTAAGGAAATCTTCAAAAGGAGCTGCTAGAAATAATAGTAAACTTACCATGACTTCAAAATTTTTAGAAAACATTACGCCAAACCAATTGTATTGTTATAGACTAGCAATAATCAGAAGCTGAAATTTAAAAAGAGTAAGATTTGAAATACCATTAAAACATATGACATACTTAATAGCTGGGCATAATGACATAAGCCTGGATTCTAGCACTTTGGCAGCCTAAGGCGCAAGAATTGCCAGTTTGAGCTTACAGTGGTCAGTTTAGCAACTTAGTGCAACTCTGTCTCAAAATAAAAAATAAAAAAAAGAGGTAGCTCTGTGTAAGGGCCCTGAGTTCAATCCAGACCCCCTATAACCCCAAAAAAGTGCTCCATCAAAGAAAATATGGATTTTAATGAACTAAAAAAGCGCCAAATTTTTAAAATACGGGTTTACTGATACAAAAAATAATTGCTGGACCTAGTGGTACATGCCTGTAACCCTACATACTCAGGAGACTGAGGCAGGAGGATCACAAGTTTTGGCTCAGCCTAGGCAACTTGGAGAAACTCTGCTCAAGATTTTTAAAATGTTTAAAGGGCTGGGGATGTATCTCAGTGCAAGACTCTGGTTCAGTCCCGAGTACTATGAAAACACAAAACAAAACAAAGAACACAATGACCCCAATAAACCAAGTATGGAAGCTGCTAGAATACCAAATTATTATTCTGAAAACTGGTTAAAAAGAATAGGGAGGGTGGTACCTCAGTGGTAGTGAGTGCTTAGCATGCATGAGGGCCTGGGTTCAATTTCCAACATGGTAAAAAAAATTTTAAAACAGGACAAAAAGGGAAAAATTAAATATTTATCCTGTCTCTTCCCCTATAAACTGTAACAAGGCAAGCCAACAGCCAGTGAAACAAAGTTCTTCCTTAGAGGAGAATTACTGCTCATAAATATTAAACAATCATTGGATTTTATAACCTTTTATAACCTGCAGGATATGATCATCAATTTCTGCTAAATTACTGGGCTAAAGGCTGATAAGGGAACTCTATAAGGACAGATCAGGCTGGCTAACACGCAAGCCATGATTAATCTCAACATCACAGAAAGGGAACAACCAGATGATAGCTACCTTTTGATGTTATCCAAACAGA